GAGAGAGAGAGAGAGAGAGAGAGAGAGAGAGAGAGAGAGATGTCAGCCTGCATGGCATTAGGCTCCAGGTTTTGTATTTGTGCTTACCAATTAGTTGGGCGGCTGCCTTTCGATACAGAGCCTTTCTGTTCCCCAGGAAATCCAGCATTTGATCCAACATTTTGGAGATGTTTTGCTTGCATTTATTCATCTAGGGAAAAGAAGGCAAGAAAGAAGCCAATGAACTCTATAGCTTTCTTTGTTTTCACAAAGGGCGACTTCCTTGGTCAGGCTTCTAGTCCTCATGCCCTCAATAACAATGTCTTCAATGGCATATTATGTTTCACTGTATTGTATTATATCATGCTGTACGATACTGAACTATAATATGATTATACTTGTTGAGGTAATTCCCCGTTAGGGAAGTAGTGAGAGTGGTGAAGAATAACACACAGCCAGCACACAGATACACTGTATGGTAAAATGTAGGTTTTTACTTCCAATAAACGTTTAAGCAAAGTCCAAACAAGCAGCCCAAGTCATTCACAGTTAAAGCAGTCAGTCCAGGGATAATTCAAATTACAAAGTCCAGTATCAAAAACAGTTCAGTAACAGACTTACATCAAACCCAAGAAGAATGATGATCAGTAACAGTCAATGGGGGAATGCAGGAACAGGACAGCAACAGGACGGAACAAGACAGCTAGCAACTGGAACAACCCAGGTTTCTGGCTCCATCTTATGGCCATTTGAGGAACCACACCCAATTACAATTTTAGCATTCTCTTAAAGAGACAGTATTAAAATGTCTATCCTGGTTTATATATTTTCCAACCCAACTGTTAGGTGACTTACATTCCTAACAATACTATACTATATTTTATTATACTAAATGATATTATTTTACTATAATGGAATGTACTATCCTATTCTACGGTACAATGCAATGCAATACAATATAACATTATTACATTATATAGTATAGTATATACACAGACACATTTATGTTATTAAAGACGATGATAAATACGTTGTGGTAGACCAGGCCAATCTTCCCTCTTCGCATTGGCGAGACCAGGAGGACCCCGCGGGACGGATCTGAGCACCTTGTGGGTCCCATTTGGCCCTTGGTGCTTATATTTCACACCCCTGGATCAGGGCAGCCTACCTTCCAGCCCAGTCTACCCAATGATAACAGGAAGGAGGGCCAGCCAGGCATCGACCCGTCTACTCAATGCAAAGAGGAAACGTGCACGCAGTTTGGGGAGTGGAGTCGAGGTGGCCACGCCCACCCATTCAGCCACACCCACCCAGTTGGCCATGCCTGAGGTCAACCACAACCCTGATGCAGCCCTCGATGAAATTGAGTTTGACACCCGTCCACTAGGAAATGGAGAGTTCTAGTCCTGCCTCAGTCATCATAGCCATCTGTGTGACTTTGGGAGTTTTAGTCCCGCCTTAGGCATGAAGGCTGGATGGGTGACTTTGGGCCAATCACCAGGAGACGGAGAGTTCTAGTCCCGTCTTAGTCATCACAGCCAGCTGGGTGACTTTGGTGCAGTCCTCCTCTTTCAGTGCAACCCACCTCACAGGATTGTTGTGAAGGAAATTGGGGGAGAAGAAAAAGTATTGGGGAT